ATGCCAGAATTCTCCCATTGATTTGTCCTGAGGCCTGATCTCTCCTCGCTGAAGGTTTCTTCTACACACATATATGAGACTGGGTTCCAAAATCTGTGTCTTCAGCTCTTACCTCTGACTTACACTTTTATCTTTACGACCTCAATGGATTTTCCATCCTGGATTTTCATAACAACCTTTAAAATCAATATTCTTTAAACTTACCCATCTTTCCTGACTTACCTAATTCTATTAGTAGTCCCTCTAATGTTGCAGTATCTTTAGCTTCTCCTCTTTATCTCCACCACTCTCCTGCTCACATCCTGTCAGAGCAACCTTGACAAATATGTCTCACTTCTTGCCACATCTGAACTGAAATCCTAGAATCTCCTTTCTCTCAGCCCAGTGCATCTTGCAAATAATCACCTTACTGATCCACCGAAAGCCCATTTAGATTACATCACGCCCCTTCTTCAGTTGCTCCCAAAAGACCAGATTCTGGCCTTCAACATTCTTCCCATTGCAACTCCCACAATGCCAGCTTCATCTGTGTTCCCCATGTTTTAGTTAACTGGTATTTTCTCCCAGCCACAACACCTGTTTTCTCATTTTTGCATCTTTGCTCACACCACTTCTAGACTGCCCTCCCCTTTCTACTCTGTATCCCTGGTCTCTGCTTATTTTAATTCTAAATAACCTCCATATATAATATCTCTTCCATGAGCCCTTCATTTACATAGTTCAGTTTCACTATATATTGATCTAAGTATACATCGAATATAGATCTATTTTGCCCTCAGCTACATGGGTGTGGGAGAAGATGAGGTTGAGATGATACTGCGGAATCTTGTAATCTAAAAGCACCTTAAAGATCATCTAATTTAGTGGTCACTAATGGAGGAATTTTTTTTTAAAGCATGACTTATTTTTTTAATTGATTTCAGAGAGAGGAAGGGAGAGGGAGAGAGGGATAGAAACATCAATGATGAGATACTCATTGATCAGCTGCCTCCTGCATGCCACCTACTGGGTTTCTTTGAAGATTTTAACTAGAAGCTTAACCAATGAGTCCTTCAGGATATTGCACGCTTGCAGTTGCTCCACCCCTCTAGCCAATTCACAGTTCTCAGGCTAGACTGACAGGCATCTTCCCTACTTCACCCCGACTTCTCTGCTCATGCGCCCATCTTCCCCTTTGTTGGACCCCTGGCCCCAGTTATTTGCAGGGAATGGACCTGTGGATCCCTGGGGAGTATAAAATTACAGCTTCCTGGTAAAGATGCCCAGATAACTATGCTTACAATGTCTGGCCTCCGTAACACGTGGATCAAGGAGAAGAACTGGAAGGATTATTTTCTCCCTAAGTGCATCAGTTAACTATTGCCATGAAGAAGGAGAAGGAGAAGCATTTTTTAAAAAGAAAAAGAAACTGCATTTTTTTAAAAAGAAAGAAAATAAAAACAAGAGTCAGTGGCCTCAAATAACAATCATTTATTCTTACTGATCTTATTTAGCTCAGCTTATCTAAACTGGGTTTGTCTAGGGTGACTTGGCTGTCCTCCATGTTTCCCTCCTCCTCCTCTTGGGATCGTCAGGCCAGTCCAGGCTTGTTCTTCTACTGGCATTGGCCACAGCCCAGAAGCACAAGCAAGGACACGCAAGGTCCCTTGAGGTCTAGTGTTTGGAGCTGGTACGCCAGCACATCTGCCTCATTTCTTTTATTGTGGTCAGATACACACAAAATAAAGTTTACTGTTTTAACCATATTTAGGTGTACTGTTGAGTAGCATTAATGACATATTATTGTGCAGTCATCATGCTCTGCATCTCCACCACTTTTCATCATCCCAAACTGAAACTCTGTACCCATTAAATAATAATTCCCCATTTCCCCTTGCCCCAGCCCCTGGCAATCACTATTCTTTGAACATGACTACACTATGTATCTCATGTAAGTGGAATTATACAATATCTATCCTTTTGCATCTGGCTTCTTTCACTTAATGTTTTCAGGGTTCATCCATGTCATCACAGGTATCTGCATTTTGTTTGTCCACCCACTGATGGACATTTGGGTTGTTGTCCTCCATTGGCTATTATGAATAATGCTGCTATGAACGTTGGTGTAAAAATACCTGTTTGGGTCCCTACTTTCAGTTCTTTTGGGTACATATCCAAAAGTGGAACTGCTGAATTATATGTGTAATTTTTTGAGGAACTGTCATATTGTTTTCCACAGCGACTGCACCTTTTTACATTCCCAACCAGCCATGTACAAGAGTTCTAATTTCTCCACATCTTTAACACCACTTTTTATTTTCTGTTGTTGGATTTTTTTATAATAACCATCCTAATGTCTGTAATAATTAGTGATGTTGAGGGGCATCTTTTCGTGTGCTTATTGGCCATTTGTATATCTTCAGAGAAATGACTATTCAATTCTTTGCCTGTTTTTAAATGTGGTTGTTTGTGATTGTTATTTTTGTAGGAATTGTTTATATATTCTGGCTATTACTGCTTTATCAGATCTATGATTTACAAACATTCTCTCCCATTTTGTGAGTTGCCTCTTCAATCTGTTGATAAGTGTCCTTTGCACAATAGCTTTCAATTCCGATGACCTCCAGTTTATCTAATTTTTCTTTTGCCATCTGTGCTTTTAGCATCATTTCCAAGGAATCTTCACCAAAGCTATTATCATGAAGCTTTTCCCCTAAGATTTTTTTTTTTACTTTTAACTCTTAGGTTTAGGTTTTTGACCCATTTTGAGTTAATTTTTATATGTGGAGTCAGGTAAGTGTTCAACATTTTTTGCATGTGGATGTCCAGTTTTCCTCGCACCATTTATTGGAAAGACTGTCCTTTCCCTATTGAATGCTCTTGGCCCCCATTTTGAGAGTCATTTGACCATATCTGCAAGAGTTTATTTCTGGGGTTTCTATCTATCCCATTGGTCTATATGTCTGTCTTTATGCCAGTACCATACTCTTTCAATTACTGTGGGTTTAGAAGTTTTAAAATCAGTAAGTGTGAGACCTTCAACTTTGTTGTTCTGGTTAAAAATTGTTTTGACTCTTTGGGATCTCTAAAGATTCCATCGGAATTATTAGATAGATTTTTCTATTTTGGCAAAAGAACATCATCAGGATTTTGATAGCCATTGAATTGAATCTGTAGTTCACTTTGAGGACTATTGACATTGTAACAATATTAAATCTTCCAATCCATGAACATGAGATATCCTCCCATTTATTTATGTTTTCATTTCTTTTAGCAATGTTTTGTAATTTTCAGTGTATAAATCTTTCACTTCCTTAGTTAAGCTTATTCTTAAGTATTTTATTCTTTTTGATGCTACTGTAAGTAGAATTGTTTTCTTAATTTCCTTTTCAGATTGTTTATTGTTAGTGTAACACCTAACTCACTTTATTGGCCAAAGTAGTCACATGGCCAAGGTCAGGAAGGAGGTGGGGAAGTACAGCGCACCCATAATGGGAGGGCACTGCAGTTACATGGCAGAGTGAGTCAATACAGGCAACAGGAAAGAATTGGCTCCTGTAACACTGTATCCTATACTGCGCTTCCAATGCAGATTTTAGCATTACTTTTCCAGGGTTCTTCTTCAGAGTAGTCTGTTCCAACCCCTTCAACCTACATAATTACAATAAAAATGTAAAAGCAGAAAGAAAGGGCAAGGTGCTGAAAGGAGTGAGCAGACAAAGGATGTAGGTAACAAGGTGCCTAAGTAATGCTGGTGCCCAGCTGAACAAGGACACACGGCAAGGGATCAGAAGGCCTGTTCATTAACCTTGGGAAGGTCTCAACATCTCTGAGCCCTGGTTTCCTCCTCTGGAAGTAGGCTAAATGATATCTAAGGGCCTTTCCTCTGTTAAATCTGCCTCCTATAACAATTCTAACAGTGCTGCCCAAGAATAGAAAACAAGCCAACACTAGAAAATCCCTTTTCTTTACAGACCCATAGGCACACACATCCAGGCAGATGGCCATCTATGTGTGTCATAGATCTCATCATTTTCTGCTTTATATTTCAGTTTTGTTAGTGTGCTTTTTTTTTAATACTCTGTCATTGGCTATTTTCTTGCAAGAGGAAAGATAATCTTAACTGTCCCCAGAATAGTAGTTACCAATAGATTTTTTTAACTGAAGGAAATCCTCTAATATTTTAATTTTTAATGACTTATCGTGTGTTTTAAACTTCCAAGTAAATTTTCAGTGGAAGCTAAGTTGCTGGGAGCGCAACAGCAAATTCAGCAAGAACTCTGAAATGAGAGGAAATGAGTTTTCTCTCACAACCGCTCAGTTTATTTTACTAATTTTATGCTACAAAGCCTTTAGTTGATACGGTATCTCCGTTTAATATTTTGGAATTTTAATGTATCAAAATATGTTCAATGACTGTGTAAATAAGTATGATGTTGTACATAACCAGTGCAGGCTCGGTAAGAATTGTCTGAATGCCAACGTTCTTGACTTATAGAGAAATGAGATTAGTATTTAAAATTGTTTTCCTAGTCTCTGTTGAAAAATTTTGGCTTGAAAAAAATCACAAAGAGTAAAATGGAGGCAGATATTAGACTTTTACCAGCTAAAGTTTGATTCTTAACTATTACTATATAGTGTGTACCTTTTCGAACTCACTGCATTTGAAGAAATGATTTCTTTCATTATAAAATTGGTGTAGGAACTAATTAACTCCAAAAAGTGTTCAATGAGTAAATATTAATTGCTTCATTTTTTTTAAGTCAGTGCAGGGACATAGGTAGAAATAGGCACTTTGTGTCCTTCAAGAATTTTTACTTAATTGAATGAATAATAGTCATGTTCCCAGAACCCAGAGTACAAAAACATCTCCTGTTTGCTTGGGAATGGCAAGCAGAAGAAAAACGCCCCGGGAGGACCATGTTGTACCCAGGGACCCTAGAGCCACAAACACGCTAAAGCATATCAGGAATGTGTCCTTTTTGGCTTTACCGGTAGCTTACCTCTCCTCTCCTCTCCAGGCTGCCCCATCCAAGGCCACCCTACCCCCAACATCACCTGGTTCCATGGTGGCCAGTCAGTTGCCACTGTCACAGGATTGACACATCACATCTTGGCAGCTGGACAGATTCTCCAGGTTGCCAATCTAAGCAGCGAGTCTCAGGGGGAATTCAGCTGCCTCGCCCAGAACGAGGCAGGCGTGCTCGTGCAGAAGGCCTCTCTTATCATCCAAGGTAAGAACCTGTGGGACTCTGGGTGCTGGACTTATTTCTTGAACAAGTGAGTCCCCCTGAGAATCTAGTTCTGTCGTGGACAAAATGACTTCTGGTCTCCAATGGTCCCTAGAATGTGAAAACACACTGAACCATGTTTCCATCCCATGAGGCCCCTCAGCAGAGCCACCAGGCCCCACAGCAGCAGAACCTGGAAGAGTCAGTGCTGCTTTCATAGGTGGGACCCAGGAAACACCATCTTATAGCAAAGTCAAATGCATTTCCTTTACGCTGGGTGAATTTGTAAAGAAAACATGCAGTTGAGTGTAAAGTAGCCTGTTGCAAAAAATGCAAATTTTGTCTGTTGGTTTGGTTCCAAAATAAGATAGATTGTGAACCACTTGGTTATTGCCTCCTGCCCTGGAGAGTCAGGGCCGGTACCGGAACCTGCCCATCACCCTGGAGCCTTCAGCTGTGTCGCACACTGAGTGCTCTCCAGGCTCCTCTCCCGGGAGCCAGTCAAAGACCAGACTGAGAAGCCTGTGTGGCTGGTGCATATTACTTCCAGGAACACTGGCGGCTCAGAAAGCCCTTGGGCAGGTCCTGCCTGGTATTTGCTGCACCAAGAAAGTATGGATGAGCCCAATACAGTGAGAGGGGCGCCATCACTGGCCTTGTCATAGAAACTCAAGGAGGCTCATGAGTTTTCCATAGGCCAGTTGTACCTGTGGTCGGTGTGTGACACTTTCAGGGAAAGCAAAATTCCACTGTGTATTCTGAATGGAGGATTCTGTGGGAGGCGACAGACTTGTATGTCAATACAGCCCATAAAAAGGGAGACCTCTGAGCACATCCTCCCCCTTTTTCCCTTAAACATCCTCCCCCACCATTTGGCTTTCCAGACAAGAAAGTGAGTATTCCATTGTCTCGCCAGCCAGCCAGCCATTCTCTGGTGGAAACCGGAGCCTATCTGCAAGATTTGTAACACGCAACTTTGCAAATAAGCACTCACAGTTTACCAGCCCACAGTTATTTTAACAGCTTCCCTGCCAGTGAGTCCCAGGCCCCCCACACAGAAAATGCAGAGAAATTGCCTTTCTCACTGACTGGTTACATCAGTGACTCACGTAATCGAGGGCTCTCTGGATAGGCTGGTTTTTTGTAGCAGCTACAATGTCGAACTTGAATCTGCACTTTTAAATACGATTGTGAAGTATCTCTGATATTTTTCTCTCTTTTGTTGAAAAACATGGTCACTTTCTGGTGAGCCAGTTGGAAAAAAAAAAAAAGAGTGCTTTAAGAAGTATGTTTAAAAAGAGTAAGAGTAAGAGCTACAGCCGCTGATTAATACTCTCTCTGTGCCAGGCCCTGGGCGAGGCTCTTGACCTTCGTTCTATCCAGGCCTCATAATAACTTGATGTAAGAGCTATTGTGCTCATTTTCTGGGTGAGCCAACTGAGGGCTCTGGAGACCACATAACTTGCCTAGATAAACTGAGGGGCCAGGCTCATTCATGACAACCATACCCCTCTCCCCCAATGCCCTATCAGAAGAAATATAGAGCATGGGCAGTAATGCTCTCTGCTTTTCACCTTCTGTGACAGATTACTGGTGGTCTGTGGACAGACTGGCAACCTGCTCCGCCTCCTGTGGTAACAGGGGCGTTCAGCAGCCCCGCCTGCGGTGTCTCCTGAACAACACAGAGGTCAACCCCGCTCACTGCGCAGGGAAGGTCCGCCCTGCTGTGCATCCGGTCCCCTGCAACCGGAGAGACTGCCCTTCCCGGTGAGTGAGGCCGAGGCTGGCTCAGGCCTCCCGCCCCCCAGTTAGGACCCCGGCTTTTAGCCAAATTGGTGGCCAGCCCTTCCTTGTCTAGCACTACGCAAGGGGGGACTTCAGTGCAGAGGGAGACGTGCCCTCCAAGGAGCTGCTCTTTCCTACAAGCACAGCTTTGTCCAGACTCGGCACTCTGCAGAAACTACCCCTCACCTCTCAGGGCTTCCCCTGGCATCCCCAGGCCTGAATGGTGCTGGCAAGAGATAGCTCGCATCCTGCAGTGAGAAACTGGCTCTGTTTGTAGGAGAAGAAATGTGTTTGCAGCTCAAGTGCTCAGGGATGGGGATTACTGCCTCGACCTCTCTCCTTTCCCTTCCTTCCCCTCCCTTTGAACTTTCAATACCCATGCTAGTCAGTACTTCAGCTTAGTCGAAGAATCTGATCCCCTGCTTTTCCACAAACGGTGGCATCCTGCTAACAGTGAACTACGTCTTCATTTCCTTAGTTGCCTCAATGTTGGCTAAACATTCTCTGCATCTGGGACCCTCACAGAGCCCAGACTGACACCCACAGTCTCTGCCTCTCACAGCTTCCTCGAGCTTTGAGAAGCTGTGAGTCCCACTGAGCATGCCCACCGCAGTCCTCAGTCAGTAGCTGAAGGGATAATGGATGGGCTTCGAGTTGGCACCAGCATGGTGCCCTGAGCCTGGGGGGACTTGGCTGGTCCCTGCAATGCCCCTCCACTGCCTAGCTGTAGGACTCGCGTACACCACTTAGGCAACCGCCTCGTGTTTTGCCAGCTGAGTCATGAGGAGCAGCTGAAACCAGGAGAGACTCAATGAAATATGAAACACGCTCATTAATATCAGCAGTTTGACTTGCTGACGGGAAGGTTTCCACGGGAATGATTAATGTCCTTTTATACCCTTCCTGAACTGTAACATAGCCCGTACCTCTCCTCTCTCAAACCCCTCGCCCCGGCTCCTGAAAAATTGCTGAAATGTATATTTGGAAATAAAAGTTGATTGAAATGCAGGCCTGACATTCACCAGGGATACGAGAGCCTGGAAGACTGCCCTTGCCAAGCTGTGTGAAATGAAGACGCGGTCTCGGACATGCCAGGGGCTTTCTGATTTGCCGGGGTGATAGTCAGAGTCAATCAGCCTCATTTACTTCTGCGGATGAAATAACGGCCGTGTCTGGTAGGGTTTCAGGCCCCCAGGAGCTTTCACACGCCTCGCGCCTGCTTCCTAAGTGGCTCTGCTTCCGTGGGCTGCAATTCTGCATGCAGTCCTCTCTCTCCAGGGCAAACGGAGCAGGGAAGTTCCACCAAACTAAATAAACTGCAGATCCAGGCGCTGGAGGAACTGGCCTCCTGTCCCTGCTCCTGGCCTCTCCTGAGAGCCAGACGTGGCACCACCGCACTAGGAAGTGGCCACAGGTTCACCTTTGAGTGGCTGTCCCGCCTCGGGCCTTCAACAGCCTTCCTTGCAGATGCAAAAAAAAGAGAAAGATAAATACCTCATGATTTCACTCATTTGTGGAATCTAGAGAACAACATAGACTGATGAACAGGGACAGATCCAAAGACAGAGAAACAGCGATCAGACTATTAATCCCCAGAGGGAAAGTAGGGGAGGGAGGGGGCAAGGGGAATATAATAAAAAGGGGGGGTGGGGGGCACCCTGGTCCTCTCTTTTGAATAGCTGTGGGCAGTCCTGTTTGGGCCCACACAGGACCATTTCATTTAGATAAACTTTTTCTCAGGCAATAAAACCAGAAATGCTCCCTCCCACCCCCCAGTTTGAGTGAAATGGTTGGAAAGCCTGTCTTTTCTCACTATTTTCCCCAACCTATTCCCCCTTCCCTCCTCCTCTCTGAGAATTATCCTAGGGCGTAAACATGCAAAGAGAGCCCTGCATGTTCGTACATGGACCGGGAATCTCAGGGTTTGCCAGCTGCCATCTGGGCTCTATGAAAAAAGCCATGTTTTAGTGTTGGCCGGTCTCACTTCCAAGGATCTGAACTATAGTTGGAACCAAGTTTTCTGAGGACAACTCCTTTCAGCTGTCTAAGAGGTGCAAGACCTATGGACTGTGACTCAGAGAGGGGGGACGTAGCTCCAGAGAGCTGGAAGGAGCCTGCATGTTCCTGAGGGACTGAACATCAGAGACATGGGTTAAGGCGAGGCAGCAAATACAGTGGGTACCAGCAGAAACAATGTGGGCTTCAGTGGGACCCAGGTTGCTCCTGGGTCAGGAGGTGAGAGGAATGGTTGGAAAGCACAGGTTTGGATGGGACTTCCCTAGGAGTTGTCTCTCCTCTGCCAAACACCGGGTGCTGGTAAGAAGTACGAGAACTGCAGAGCCGTGTAACTAGCTCAAGACTTTCTGCAGGCTCATGGCTTTGGGGCCAATGTCAAGCTGAAACAACTGATCTTCAACATATGCTTTCAGGATACACCTTTCTAGTCCATTTCCAAAGGGTATTTGTTTCCTGTGATTGCTGTAACAAATGACCACAAACATAGTAGCTTAGAACAACAGAAATTTATTCTCTCATGGTTTTGAAGCCTGGAAGTCCAAAATCAAGGTGTCAGCAGGGTTGTGCCCCCGCCAAAGGCCCTAGGGGAGTGTCTGTTCCTTGGCCCTTGCAGCTTCTGATGCCTCTGAGCATCCCTCGGCTTGTGACCACATCACTCCCTCTTCTGCCTCTGTGAGCACACTGTCATCTCTTCTGTGTGGCATCTCCCTCTGTCTTTCTCTTACAAGGATACTTGTGATGACGTTTAAGGCCTAACCAGATAACATAGGATAATCCCCAAATCCCTCATTATATCTGCAAAGCCCCTTTGTCCAAATAAAGTAACATTCACAGGTTCCAGGGATTTGCCGGAGGTTTCTTTGGGGCGGCCGTTTTCAGCCTATCACTCCACGTACATACAGTAAAAAGGGCCATGGCCCCCAAATGAGCAGCTGTGTGGTGAGAGCCTGGAGGGGGGGGGGGGCTCTTTTCCTGAGAGCATACAGCCTCGTTCCTCTCCCCGAGACTGACACCTCCTCCTCTCCACAGGTGGATGGTGACCTCCTGGTCCGCCTGCACCCGGAGCTGTGGGGGAGGCATCCAGACCCGCCGGGTGACCTGCCAGAAGCTGAAAGCCTCTGGGATCTCCACTCCCGTGTCCAATGACATGTGCACACAGCTTGCCAAGAGGCCGGTGGACACCCAGGCCTGTAACCAACAGCTCTGCGTGGAGTGGGCCTTCTCCAGCTGGGGCCAGGTGAGAGGAATGTATTTGACAGGTAATCTAAGGGTGCTGACCCTGCAACAGTAGGAGGTGCCTCGTATGTGATCTCTCCAGGAATATGCTTCATGTGCACTGAGAACAATGTGTCATCTGAAGTTTGGGGATGAAATGCTCTCTAAATGGTTATAAATGTGGCACGTACAGCAGTTATTTTCATATTCATTTTCTGTCTGGATGCTCTGTCCATTGAAGTAAGTGAAATAGTAAAGTCCCCAACTATTATTGTATCACTGTGAATTTCTGCCTTTATGTCCATTAATATTTGCTTGATATTCTTGGGTGCCCTTATGTGGGCTGCAGAGATATTTACGGCTGTTACATCCTCTTCTTGGATTAACCCCTTTAAAATTATGTAATGTCTTTATTTTTATATTCTTTGTTTTACATACTATTTTGTCTGATATGAGTATTGCTACCCCAGCTTTCTTTTCATTTCTATATGCATATCTTTTCTCATGTGTGTCTATCTATCTAAAATGAGTCTCTTATAGGCAGCATGTGTATTGGGTCACTTTTTTAATCCATTCTGTCACCCTGTCTTTTGATTAGATCATCTAGTCCCTTTACATAGAATATATTGATAGGTGTGTGCTTATTGCCATTTTGTTGTTCTCTGTGCCTTTATTCTGCTCTTGATTTCTTTGATTTGTTGGTTTTCTTTAGGGTTTTGATTGGATTTCTTTCTCTTAGTTTGTGTGTTTGTTATGGGTTTGGTTTACGGTTACCATAAGGTTCATATATATTCGTCTATAGCTACAGCAATCTATTTTAAACTGATAGGCATTGAAGTTCAATTGCATTCTAAAAGCACTACATTTTTACACCCCTTCCATTCTTTATTTTGACGTTTAAATCTTTTTGTTTTGTGTATCCCCTGATTATTTATTGTATTCATAGTTAATTCCGCTGCTATTAAGTGGTTGATTTACTGTAGTTATTATATATTTGCCTTTACCAGTAAGATTTTTTTCTCTTTCCTGTATTTTCTTATTTCTGGTTATGGCCTTTTCTTTCTGCATAAAGAAGATCCTTTAGCATTTCTTATAAGGCTGTTTAGTGGTCGTGAACTCCTTTCGTTTTTGCATAAGCAAATTCTAGGTGGTAGAATACTATACTTTCAGCACTTTGAATATTTCCTGCCATGCTCATCTTGCCTGTAAAATTGTTTCTGTGAAATCAGCTGATAGCCTTATGAGTTTTCCCTTTGTGACTCGTTTCATTCTTGCCTCCTTTAAGACGGTGTCTTTATCTTTACTTTGGCCATTTTAATTACAATATGTCTTATTATGGGTCTTTTGGGGTTCATTTTGTTTGGCACTCTGTGCTTCCTGGACCTGGATGTCCGTTCACTTCCCCAATTTTTTTTGATTTTTAGAGAGAAAGGGAGAGAGTGAAACATTGGTGTGAGAGCAAAACATCAATTGGTTACCTCCCGTATGCACCCCTCCCGAAGATTGGACATGCAACCTGGGCATGTGCCCTGACTGGGAATCAAACCCGCAACCTTTTGGTGTACAGGATGACACTCCATCACCTGAGCCACCTGGCCAGGGCTCTTTGAATTCTTTACCAGGAAAATTACTTGTTTCATGAGGGAATTTCTCTGGAGTTTTTTCTGGTACCTTCATTTGGGGCATGTTCTTCTGTATTTGTCCCTATGGGTTGGATGGAATAGCTCTCTCCCCCAGACTTGAAAAGATGGTCTCTGTGTGTCAAACAGTTTTGTTGGGCCACGTGTAGTCAGGGCAGGTGCATGTGGTGCCTACTGTGTTGCCTGGCCTGAGGAGTGGGTTCTGGGCAGCCTGGTGTGTGCATCCTCCCTTGTCCCTCTAATCTGGGAGGGGATGCCTAGTGCTGGTGTGCCCTGTTGTCTTAATTATCTGTTGTCGGAGCAGGGTCTGGGCAGGGTTGTCCTGTGTGCTTGCCTCTCAATGCCCCCCTAAGCTGCACTCATTCTCTGGGTGGGGCAGCCTGTGTGCACACACCTGCACTCTGCTATCTGCTCTCTCTCCCAGCAGCAACCCACTCACTCCACACGGGGCAGCCCTGCATGTGGGTACCATAGTGTATTACTCGCTCCACACTCTGCAGGGGGGCAGCACCACATGGCACATAGTAGCACCCACTATCTCTGCACAGGGTAGCCCCGCTCGTGGGGACTGCAGCATTTTTCTAGCTCTGCACTCTGTCTGGAAGGGGGAGTCCTGTGTACATGTACAGCATCACCCTGCTGTACTTGCTGGATCAATCTCTGGGTGGAGGGGCCTCTTGTATGCATGTTACGGAGCCCTCCTGTTCCTGCTGGATCTAGCTGCAGGAGAGAGGCTGTGGACACACTGTAGCACCCTGAATGTCTGCCAGAGAACCTGCCTAGAGCTCCCGCCTGTTATCCATGCGCAGGGGAAACCAACAATGGTGCTCAGCCGTTCCTCCGGTCTTGAGTTTTTCCCTCAGCTCCAGAGAACTCTCACAGTTCCCCAAACTTCTCTACACAGTCTCTCTCTCTCTCTCTTGCTTATTGTGCAAAAGCTGTTCAGTTGGCTCAGGGTTGTCTCTTAGGAGGAAGTGCTATAGGGACAGTTGTACATTCGATGTGCTCTTTGGAGGGAGCGAGCTCAGTGTCCACTTAAGCCTCCATCTTCAACCTGGTAGAATGTGTGTTCTGTGTTCACAACTGATTTGGAGGCTGACTGAGCGTCTAAGGGCTGTCTTCCAGGGCTGATGATCAGCTGTGTGGTAACAACTACTGCGCTTTGTCGGGGGCTGGGGCTGCTTGGTAGCCTGATCCTTCCGATTGATCAGGCTTCGTTCCTGAGTGGCTGTTGTCTGAACCATGCCACTAAGCTTGGCCAACCCAGAACAACCACAAGGCTCTTCTGGATGCTTTTGGCCAGTTAGCAACTCAAAACTCGTTGGAACTGGCTATCCACACATTACTGCGTTCACATCCCACCCCCACCCCGACCCGAGGTGTGTCTCTGGAGAACAATCCCTTGGAATTTCCTATCTGGTTAATACACTGTGCCATCTCTAATGAAGATCAGATGTTATTTGGGGACATGTGGCCACAGAATTTACTTGTAACACGTAAGTCATTTGTGTCCCAGGTGAGTCAGGGGACAATGTTCATGCTGGCCAGTCAACACATTCGACCAGATGCTCCTTTTTGGCACCTCTACCAACCCCCACTTCCTTCCAGCGACCTAATGTATGTGCTTCATAATCAGAGAGGCATGACTCCCCCTTGCTCCGACGCCTGGGGGATATCATCTTTCTCTTACCTGGAAGCGTCCACTCTGATAGCTCTCATTCGCCCAAGGCAGCTCTGCTTCTAGGCTCTCCGCTTATTGGCAGCTTGTGAAATGACAATTGGGAACAGATCTGGCTACACATGGGAGGAATTTCTGTATTATATCATTGAGGTCAATCAAGGGGACATACAGTGCACATTGATCATTCTCAGTAATTATTTTTCCTAAAAGAGAGAAAAATAGGTCTTTCCCATCAAATACTCTCCCCCCCTTCTTATTTCTTCTAAAACCCTCTAGGCAAATAATGTCTCAGGCTTTAATGTAAATCACCTGTGAATACTGTTAAACTTGCTAATTCTGATATAACAGATCTGAAGTAAAGCTTTGGATGCTAATTTTTTTATTAAGGTATAATTGACATATAACATTATATTAATCTCAGGTGTACAACAATAATGATTCCATATTTGTATACATTGTGAAATGATCACCACAAGTCTAGTTAACATCTGTCACCATACATAGTTGTAAATATTTCTTCTGAGAACTTTTAAGATCTATTCTAAGCATAGAATATACAATACAGTATTATTAACTATAGTCACCAAGCTGTACATGACATCTCCATGACTTTATTACTGGAAGTTTGTAACTTTTGACCCCCTTCACTGATATTGCCCACCCCCACCTCTGGAAACCACCAACCTGTTTTGCGAGGTTTTCTGAGATTTCACATATAAGTGAGGTCATACAATATTTGTCTTTGTCTTATTTCACTTAGCATAATTCCCTCAAGATCCATACGTGTTGTTACAAATGGCAAAATGTCTTTTTCTTTAATGGCTGAGTAATATTCCTCTGTGTGTGTGTGTGTGTCTCATTTTCTTTATCCATTAATCCACTGATGGACACTTAGCTTGTTTCCATGACTTGGCTATTGTAAATAATGCTGCAATGAACATGGGGTGGCATATATCTTTTTGAGTTGGTGTTTTCAGATAAATACCCAGAAGTGGAACTGCTGGATCACATAGTAGTTCTATTTTTAATTGTTTTGAGAAACCTCCAAACTGCTCTCTATAGTAGTGGCACCAATTTACAAGCCCACCAACAGTGCACAAGGGTTCTCTTTTTCCACATCCTCACCAACACTTATCATTTTGATAAGACATTCCAACTGGTGTGAGGTGATAGTTCAGGGTGGATTTGATTTGCATTTCCCTGATTATTTGGTGATGTTGAGCACCATTTCATGTACCTATTGCGCATCCGTAAGTTCTTTTAAAGAAATATCTATTCAGATTCTCTATCCCTTTATAAGTTGATTTTCTTTGGGTTCTTTGCCATTGAGTTGTATGATATATATATATATATATATGATATTAACCCCTTATCATATATATGATTTGCAAATTATTTTCCCCCATTGATTAGGTTGTATTTTTAATAGTTTCCTTTTCTGTGCAGAAGCTTTTTAGTTTTATGTAATCTCACTTGTTTATTTTTTCCTTTTGTTGCCTTTACTTTGGGTGTCAGATGCAAAAAATCATTGCTAAGACTGATATTTTAGGAGATATGATTTCAGGCCTTACGTTCAAGTCTTTTACCCATTTTGAGTTAATTTGTGTCTTATGTAAGTTAGTGATCCAGCTCCATTCCTTTGCATGTGGCTGTCCAGTTTTCCCAGCGCCATTTATTGAAGAGACTGTCATTTCCCGATGT